TTTTTGAGACAAAGTCTCGTTCTGTCACCCAGGCTGGAGTGCAGTGGCACAATCTCGGCTCACTGCAAGCTCTGCCTCCTGGGTTCACGCCGTTCTCCTGCCTCAACTTCCTAAGTAGCTGGGACTACAGGCACTTGCCATCACACCTGGCTAATTTTTTGTATTTTTAGTAGAGATAAAATTTCATCATGTTAGCCAGGATGGTCTTGATCTCCTGACCTCGTGATCTGCCCGCCTCAGCCTCCCAAAGTGCTGGGATTACAGGCGTGAGCCACCAACACCTGGCTAATTTTTATATTTTTTGTAGAGATGAGGTTTTCCCATGTTGTCCAGGATGGTCTCGAACTCCTGGCCTCAAGTGATCACCTGCCTCAGCCTCCCAAAGTGCTGGGGCTACAGGAGTGAGCCACTGCGCCTGGCCTTGTTTGTTTTCTGAGATGGGGTCTCACTATTTTGACCAGGCTGGTCTCGAACTCCTGGGTTCGAGCAATCCTCCTGCCATGTAGCTGGGATTATAGGCACTACCATGTCCATCTAGTTTTAAATTTTAACATAATTATATTTATCTATCTTTTTCTTTTGGGCTTCAAGTGTTGTATTCATTCAAAGATTATAAAAACATTTACTAATGTTTTCTTCTAGTACAAATTCTGGCCGGGCGCAGGTAGCCTATAATCCCAGCACTTGGGGAGGTTTGGGGTATGGATGGTCATGTCGTGCAGGTAGCGAGCATAGAACCCAGTAGGTAGTTTTTCATTCTGCTCCTCCCTTTCCTCAGCACCATTTATTGAATAATCTATCTTTTCCCCATTTATTTGAAATGATATCACATACTAAATTTCCATATATACTTGAGTCTATTTGGGGGCTCTCTATTCTTTACTATTGAACCTTTTATTCCATTCACTCTGCCTGTATAACACCGTTTACACATGGTTGCTTTATACTGTGGTCTGTCTGAATGGGGAGTGAAAGCATCAGGGGTCGAGTGTGAGAGAGGATTATCCCTATTTGTCACCCATCTTTTTCAGCATTCCCCTGGCTATTCTCTCCAACATTCCAGATGACTGTTGGTGCCATCTTTGCATATCCACACACATTGGAAACATTCACCCTCCACACAGTATAGAGGAAAGGTCCATAGGAGCTGTGACCATGCACTCTGCCCTGTCACTGGCTAGGGTTGGGAGGCTCTGAAGAAACAGGGCAGAAGGCCCCTGGGAATTTGTGGAGCTGGGAGCTGAGAAGAGGCCTCTCTGGGACCCAGAGCTCAGTGCTAACCTATCTTCTCCACTCCTAGGATATGAAGGACAGAATCTGGCAAAGATCCTCAAGGATTTAGAGACGAGTAAAGTGGTACATATGGATCGATGGTCCGTGGAGGTGATACCTCAACAAACTGAAGAAAAGAGTGACCCCGTCCCCTTTCAAATCATCAATAACTACTTCTCCATTGGTGTGGTCAGTGGAATGGGGCTTGGGGAGAAGGAAGAAAGTGGGGGCCAAGCTGTCAGAGGCTGGAGGAGAGCAGAAAGGGAGGGGGGAGGTTAAGTGACCTGTGACACAGGGAAATCGGGAGTGCAGTACAGTGGTGTGAGTTGCAAGAGAAGATCTTGGGACACGCTATGGGGAGCAACATGGGGACTTGGGAGAGAGGGGAGACGGGGAGGGAGATAGCGAGCTCTGTACTGACCTTCATGTCCTGAACTCTCCAGGATGCCTCTATTGCTCATCGATTCCACATCATGCGAGAGAAATATCCTGAGAAGTTCAACAGCAGGTGAGGGAAAGGAGAGGGGGGTGTGGGCATACAGTGTCAGGTTGTGACCAAGTTTGACTCAGATTGCTTAGAAGAGCAGTGGCACCTCTAGGAAATCCCCTAACCAAAGCTACCCTTGTTCCCCATGGGACTAAAGTTAGGAGGTTGATGCCCTTCCCTGTCACTTACCACCCCCACCAGCACTGTGTAACCTGTCCCTCCCTACTGGGCCTTGTGTTGGGGCTGACACAGAATGAAGAACAAGCTATGGTACTTCGAATTTGCCACATCTGAATCCATCTTCTCAACATGCAAAAAGCTGGAGGAGTCTTTGACAGTTGAGGTGTGTGTAATAAGATTCAACCCTACATCCTTTTCAGCTTCTTAATAGCCAAGTTTCTCCCTCCATGGCACCCTTAGGAACTTCCCATATTCTTGAACCTATACTTCTTTGACCTCCCAGTTCTCCTACTCCAATTCTCCAAGTCCTCAAGATACACTAGTCCCAATTTTCATCCCTTGCACATCTCCAAATCCTGCCTCCCCCAGTTTGTCATCTGGTGGAGGGAGTGATCACATCTATGATTATGCCATGAGGTGAGGATCTGTACCCTCCCTAACTGGGACTGTGCCCCTCCCCTCAGATATGTGGGAAACCGCTGGATCTGAGCAACCTGTCCCTAGAAGGCATTGCAGTGCTAAACATCCCTAGCATGCATGGTGGCTCCAACCTCTGGGGTGATACCAGGAAACCCCACGGGGATATCTATGGGATCAACCAGGCCTTAGGTGCTACAGCTAAAGTCATCACCGACCCTGATATCCTGAAAACCTGTGTACCAGGTGAGAGGAGCAGCCTTGGGAGCTGAGTGGGCAGGACCAAGGGAAAGTGTGACTCCCTATGGGGATACTCTATTTGTGTAAAACTTAACTCCCTACTTCCTCCCCAGACCTAAGTGACAAGAGACTGGAAGTAGTCGGGCTGGAGGGTGCAATTGAGATGGGCCAAATCTATACCAAGCTCAAGAATGCGGGACGTCGACTGGCCAAGTGCTCTGAGATCACCTTCCAGTAAGGAAGACTCCACCAGGGTCCCTGAGGGAAGGTGTGGGGCTAGGGCAGCAGAAGGGTCATGGGAATGGTGGGGAGGAGCTTTACTAGATCTCCCTCAGTGACAGAAGGTCTCAAAGTCAACCTGAGAAGCAGAGTTTTGGTATTCAATTAGTAAGGAAATCACCAATGTTCCTTGGTCTCCCATAGCACCACAAAAACCCTTCCCATGCAAATTGATGGAGAACCCTGGATGCAGACGCCCTGTACAGTGAGTATTGATGATCCCAGCCAAAAACTAAACCCCTGGGCTCCATGGATGCTAAATCCCCATTCCACAGCTTCTTTACACCCTTCTAATGCCTGAACTTCCCCTGCACATCATTCATTCTAAACCTTGATTTCTCAGCCCCTGGTTTCCCTATTGTGGCCTCTCTAGGAACCTAGAAACCCACCCCAAACCCCACAGATTTCCCTCCAAATCTCTGAAGCCACAGCCCCAAAGCATCAGGTCCTGCCTCTGAATGTGCTCCCTTCCCTTCCAGATCAAGATCACCCACAAGAACCAGATGCCCATGCTCATGGGCCCACCCCCCCGCTCCACCAATTTCTTTGGCTTCTTGAGCTAAAGGGGACACCCTTGGCCTCCAAGCCAGCCGTGAACCCACCTCCCTATTCCTGGACTCTACTCCTGAGGATCTGTACATTGCTGCCACACGCTCCTGCCAGCTTGGGGGAGTGTTCCTTCACCCTTACAGTATTTATTATCCTGCACCACCTCACTGTTCCCCCTGCGCACACATATACACACACCCCAAAACACATACATTGAAAGTGCCTCATCTGAATAAAATGACTTGTGTTTCCCCTTTGGGATCTGCTAAGTAAGTGGTACACATCCTTCTTTTATACCTTCACTCCTTAAATGACATAGATTCTCCCAAGAAGCGACCAAAAAACCAGCATCAGGCTCTGAGTATTTATTTCGGTTAATAGTAGTCTCCCAGGGAAGACTGGGGGAAATATAGGTGTTTCTGTCAACCCAGGAAAATCACAGCATCATATGAGAGTACTCAGACCTCCTGCCCACTGAGGAGTGGGCTGTTCTCACCAATGGGGCAAGAGCGGAAGATGCGGGGTAGACGCAGCCAGTGACTGCTGCTATGTGGCAGCTGGGGAATGGAGAAGGCTTGCTTCATAAGTCTGCGCCTGATATTGGGAGAAGGGGTAAACTGGTTAGCAATGGACAAAAGTAGCTTGTCTGTGTGCTTCTCCAAAGAAGGGAACACACCTATATCCCAGTCTGCTTAGCCTTGATCCTAGCTCCCTCCCCTTCTCCTCAACTCCAGGGTTTACCCTCTCTTATTTCTGTGGTAACCTCTGTCCATTCCTCCCTCACCCCATAAGCTTCCCTGCCTGAGGATCATGCCACCCCAGGCCTGGGGGATCTGCCCTTCTTGCAGGTAGAAAACTCAGTTTACCCCAGGCTGGGCATGGTGGCTCACTCCTGTAATCCCAGCACTTTGGGAGGCCGAGGCAGGCAAATCACGAGGTCAGGAGTTTGAGACCAGCCTGGCCAACATGGTGAAACCCTGTCTCTACTAAAAATACAAAAATTAGCCGGGTGTGGTGGCTGATGCCTGTAATCCCAGCTACTCGGGAGGCTGAAGGAGGAGAATCGCTTGAAACTGGAAGGTGGAGGTTGCAGTGAGCCGAGATTATGCCACTATACTCCAGCCTGGGCAAAAAGAGTGAAACTCCATCTCAAAAAAAAAAGAAAAAGAAAAAGAAAACTCAGTTTACCCAAACTGCCCCCACTCTTCACATTATTAACAACAGTCACGAATATCAATTATTGCACTCTTGCTTCAGAGCCAGGTGCTTTACTCATTGTTTCTAATCTTTACAGCAGCTCCACAGGGCAAGTATTAGTTTACCTACTTTTCAGAGGCTTAGACAGGTTAAGCTACTTCCCCAGGTCCCACAAACAAGACTGCAGCCCAAGTCTGGCCAACGTACAAGACTAGGCTCTTTCCTGGACACCATGCTTCCTTAAAGGGAGAGATGGTTTCTTCTCCCTTGAGGAAGAGTGAGTAGTGCTAACAAGGGATAAGGGGGTCTGAGCTGTGTGATGAGGCTCTTACCTATATATCAGAGATGCAAGGACCACAGCCATCAACACCAGCAAGATACCCACGAACAGGGGAGCCTGCCCAAGGCCTGCTTCCTGACCTGTGAGAAGAATCCCAGGCACTGCTTCACTCAGTGTCTGCTCCTTGCCAGCTACCCTCTATCCACTCCCTTCGTCATCTTAGCTCTTGTCCAAGGACCTACCAGGCATGATAAGCTGGGTGCTGACCACTGCCAGGCTGTTGGCATCAGCCAGAGACACATTGAGGCAGTATGTCCCCAAGCCACCCTTCAGTATCTGGTACAGAACTAGCTGGCAGGCTGGGCTGGGTGGCACAGGCTGGCACAGCTGCTGGGCAGGGGGCTGGCACCCTGGCGATGAGATCTCCATGCAGGCTTCCGTGGGCAGCCTGGAAGAGGTGTCACAATATATAAGGGGATCTGGGAAGGGACACTAAATGCCAGAGAGCAGAGAAACAGTCAACCCAAGAGTTATCAGCACACTAGTGGGACACTCACCCGCCTTGGCAGGACACAGTCAGCTCAAATGCATCTCCCTCACTGGATGGCACAACCTGCAGGATCTCAGCACTTTCAATACCCTCTGCAGAGTTGCAAGATTATCAAGTTAGGATTCCTCTACCTGGCCTCCCCAAAAGCCCATAGACAGGAAAGCCCCAGGGCTGCTCCACCAATCTCATCCCTGTGCTTTCAAATGAGGACTCTGGCATTTGGGTATTCTTCCTATCTAGGTGAGTAATTCCTCCCAAGGTGTGCTTCCACTGACCAGCCCTAGGCAGCACATAGCTGCCTCCATCAGCCCCCAAAGTAGGCAGGACTCACGGACGATGTCCAGGGTGACAGAAAAGGAACCATATCGATACAGAACACAGTCCAGGGGGACTTGTCTCTTCTCCAGCCTTAAGGTAGCCGTACCATCCAGCAGGGGGCCCAGGGAACCTGGCAGGAGAGGATTGAGGAGGCAAGATCAAGAGACAGATGACTCATCTGGAGGCAGAGGCCAAGCAGGCATTTTTTCAGGTTGAACCAGAGTTACTGGATTCTGGAGTCACTGGCTTGGAATCAGATAAGACCTGGGAAACTTTATTCTATAGATAAGGAAACTGAAGCCTAGAAGAAGAAAATGACTCCTCCAGAATCACAGTTAGGGGTGGCACTGGAGTTTTAAAAAATTCTCAAATGTTTATCACATCTCACACTATGCCAGGTCCTAGGCTAGACATTCAACATGTGTTAACTCATTCAAGCATCACTATTTCATTCCTCCCTTTTTGCTTTGGGATGGGAATACAGGGTTGGGAAATGGAAGGATCAGGATCTCAGAATCTGGGAAGGATTTCCGTGCAATTATGCTTGAACAGAAAGTGAACTATAAATATTATGTAAATGATCACAGTCTGTTCCCTGGTCTCGCCAACCATTCTCAGCAGTAGAGAAAGCAACAAGCTCTTCTCTCATGGCCTAGGGGAAGACTTTGGTTTCCTGAACTCCAGATCTATTCCGTGTCATTAATAGAGACTGGAGGGCTTTATAGCCAGGCCAGTGAGAGCTCTGAGGGGACCATAGTGCTAAGCAAAGGATTAGGTAATGTCTGAGTCCTGGGTAAGACTTACAGAGTAGAGTAGGGTACCCCACCTCCATGAACCTCATTCACACTGGTCCTCTTACCTGTAATACTTTCCGTAGACATGATTGAGCTGGTATCTGGACCCTCAGGCTCAGGGGTAGGTAGCTCTCCAGCTGTGGTCTCCACCCACTCTGTAGTTGTTACCTGTGCAGCTGTGGTTCCAGAAGGCACTACAATTGACACCTCTGCAGGTGTCATACCTATAGCCTCTGGAGTTGACATCTCTGCCAGTGTGGTACCCATGACCTCTGAAACTGGCACCTTCTCAGGTGTCGTACCTGTGCTCTCTGCAGTTGGCATCTGCACAGGTGTAGTGCTTATGACTTCAGTGGTTGGCACCTGCACAGATGTGGTTCCAGAGGGCTGTGTAGTTGGCACCTGACCAGGTGTAGTACCCGCGACTTCTGTAGTAGGCACTCGGCCAGCTGTGGTGTCAGGGACCTCTGCAGTTGGCCTGTGCCCATCTGTGGTGCCTGGAACTGGGGAGGAGCCACAGGAGGTAAGAGGAATGGCAGCTTGCAGGACCACCTGGGCAGTGACTGGGCCAGGCTCCAGATAAGTATGAGTGACCACAAGTGCCCGAGAGATCAGCGTTCCACTACTGTCTCCAAAGTCCCAGGTGTAGGAGAGGTCAGCTTCAGCCAGATAGCCACTGGGGTCATGGAGCTGGAGGGCAAAAGTCAGAGGCTGATTTCTCAGGAAGTGCTTGTTCCCTCCATCCAAGGCCCGCAGCTGGGACACGCTCACGGAGAAAGGCACCTGGTCTGGGATTGGAGCCAGAAAAGGTGAGAACTAGGCCTGAGCCACAACTTCTCCCTTCACAGCCACACTCTCCAACCCCAAGCTGACTGGCTGGCCCTTCACTGGCACTAAACCTCACATTTCTCTGCCTAGGTCTTCCTGGCCCTTCTACTTTAAGTTTGCACAGCATTTCACCTTTCCCCTTTCCAGTCCCTCCAAGCCTCCCTGCCTTCTCTTGCCCTATGACTGGCCTTGTCCCTTCCTAAACCCTTACCAGTAATGGTGAAGGCCGAGCTGGAATGAGCAAGAGGCACATAGCTCCGGGATCCCCGGCGATGGTAGACAGTCACTTCCATGGTGTGTGTGCCCAGCATTGCTCTGCCTGTTCCAATGCTCAGCCCAGACACTGGGCCCCCTAGAACTTGCCAGTATTGGCCTGAAGTTTTTGGAATGAAAAGAAAGGAAGAAGAGATTACTGGTCAAAGGGGACTAAGGGACAGGCTTAGAAACAGGGCACTGGAGATGGGAGGTCAGGAGGTATGATTACTTCTGAGGGTGTTTGGAAGGCTGTGATATGGGGGGACAGGGAAGGGGTCCTAATGAGGCATTCCATGGGGTAGGACTATAATTGAGGAAAAGCTGCCAGAAAGAATTATGATAGAGTTCAAGGGGGCTAGGTGCTATGGAAGAGAAAAGATGTAAGAGGAAAATGAAGATTAGAGAAAATCACAGAAGTTAAGGTGGAAGGGGCGGGCAAAAGAAAGGTGATCAGGTACAAAGAAGTAAACACAAGTGTAGATGACAGGCTGAGAAGGGAGTCCCTCACCCCAGGTCTTCCAGACATAAACAAAGCTTCTCATTTGAGACCAAGGACCAGATGGGCAAGGTCCACCATCAGGGAAGATGCAGGCATCGTCAGTTTCCTGGGGATACACTGGCTGTCCTCCCCACACCTGGCTCCCTGAAAGGTAAATACAGAGTCACTCTCAAACCCTGGCATTCTTTTTTATATACCAAAACCCCTAAAATTGTTCCCAGGGTATCAGAGAGGGGCTCTGGGAATATTCCCTAGCTAGAAAGTACATTCTCCATGGTATAACCATTTCAGGTGGCAGTCGGGGGCTGAGGGTGTGGAAACTACATTTTTCTTTTGGACACAGGGTCTTCCTCTGATGCCCAGGCTGGAGTGCAGTGGTGTGATCACAGCTCACTGCAGTGTCAACCTCCCAGAGTCAAGCAATCCTCCTGAGTAGCTGGGACTACAGGTATGCACCACCATACCCAGCTAATTTTATTTTGTTGTAGAGACATGGTCTTGCTATGTTGCCAGGGCTGGTCTTGAACTCCTGGGCTTAAGCAATCCTCCCGCCTCAGCCTCCCGAAGTGCTGGGTTTATAGGCATGCACCACTGTGCCTGGCCAGAAGCTATAATTTAATTGGCCAGGTGTGGTGTCTCATGGCTGTAAACCCAGCACTTTGGGAAGCTGAGGTGGGAGGATTGCTTGAGGCAAGGAATTCAAGACCAGCCTGATCAACATAGCGAGACCCTGTCTCTACAAAATACATTTTTTAAAAAGTAGCCAGGTGTGGTGGTATGCACCTGTAGTTCCAGCTACGCCAGGAGCTGAGGAAGGAGGATCACTTGAGCCCAGGAGGTTGAGGCTGCAATTAGCTATGATTGCACCACTGTACTCCAGCCTGGGAGAGAGAGAAGGATCCTGACTCTAAAATAAATAAATAAAATAAGAAGAAAGAAAGAAAACAAAAAGAAGATATATGTGTATGTGTATATATGTATATACATAGCCACATATCAAAATATTTAGAGTGATTTGCTCTAGCTAGTGGAATAAAAATAACAGCACTGGGGGCCAGGCGCAGTGGCTCATGCCTGTAATCCTAGCACTTTGGGAGGCTGAAACGGTTAAATCACCTGAGGTCAGGAGTTCGAGACCAGCCTGGCCAACGTGGTAAAACCCTGTCTCTACTAAAAATACAAAAATTAGCCAGGCGTGCTGGTGGGAGCCTGTAATCCCAGCTACCCAGGAGGCTGAGGCAGGAGAATTGGTGGAACCTGGGAGGTGAAGGCTGCAGTGAGCCAAGATTGCACCACTGCACTCCAGCCTGAGCAACTAAGCGAGACTCTGTCTCAAAAATAAATACATAAATAAATAACAGCACTAGATATCATTTATTTAGCCTTTACTGTAGGCTGCAGCAGACACTACATTAAATACTTTACACATATTATCACATTCTAATCCTTACAACAATCCTTTTTTCTTCGGAAATGGAAACACAATGAGGTGGGCAGATCACTTGAGTTCAGGAGTTTGAGACCAGCCTGGGTAACATGGTGAAACCCCGTCTCTACTTAAAATATAAAAGAATTAGCCGGGCATGGTGGCATGCGCCTGTACCAGCTACTCAGGAGGCTACTCCCAGCTACTCAGGAGACTAAGGAGGGAGGATTACTTGAACCCAGTAGGCGGAAGTTGTAGTGAGCTGAGATCCTGCCACTGCACTCTAGCCTGAGCGACACAGCCAGACTCTGTCTCAAAGAACAAAAAAAAAAAAAAGGAAACACAAAACAAGTAACTTGCCCAAGGTCACATATCAAGGACAAGTTTAAATATAGGTCTTTTCAACTTCTAGGTCCCCTGAATCCTGCTGTCCTCCACTTTAGGGACTGTAATTTTCTTTTCTTTTTGCTTTTTGAGACAGGGTCTCACTCTGTCACCCAGGCTGAAGTGCAGTGGCGTGATCATGCAGTTTCGACCTCCCAGGCTCATGATCCTCCCACCTGAGACTCCTGAGTAGCAGGGACTACAGCTGTAATTTTCTTTTCTTTTTGCTTTCTCTGTTTTTGTTTTTGTTTTTTTTTTTTTGAGATGGAGTCTTGCTCTGTCGCCCAGGCTGGAGTGCAGCGGCGCAACCTCAGCTTACTGCAAGCTCCGCCTCCTGGGTTCACACCATTCTCCTGCCTCAGCCTCCCCAATAGCTGGGACTACAGGCGCCTGCTACCATGCCTGGCTAGGTTTTTTTTGGATTTTTAGTAGAGATGGGGTTTCACCGTGTTAGCCAGGATGGTCTCGATCTCCTGACCTCGTGATCTGCCTGCCTTGGCCTCCCGAAGTGCTGGAATTACAGGTGTGAACCACCGCGCCCGGCCTTCTCTGTGTTTTTAAATTTTAACTACAATGAGTATGTATTACATTTATAACTTGTTTTAAAAAGTAGAGGAGGAGGCTGGGCGTGGTGGCTCACACCTGTAATCCCAGCACTTTGGGAGGCCGAGGCAGGCGGATCACAAGGTCAGGAGATCAAGACCATCGTGGCTAACACGGTGAAACCCTGTCTCTACTAAAAATACAAAAAAAAAGTAGCCGGACATGGTGGTGGGCGCCTGTAGTCCCAGCTACTCGGGAGGCTGAGGCAGGAGGATGGCGTGAACCTGGGAGGTGGAGCTTGCAGTGAGCCGAGATCGCACCACTGCACTCCAATCTGGGTGACAGAGCGAGACTCCGTCTCAAAAACAAAAACAAAAACAAAAAAGTAGAGGAGGAAGGGGCATTCCCTGAGCTCACTGGGCATACCAGGGAACCTGAGCCCTAGGAATAAGGACCTAGAATAGAGAAGTACTCACCATTGATGATGGTATTGTTGACCCAGATAACCTGCCCATCTGGCAATACCTTTTGGCTTCCAGGGAAGTTCAAGGCAATAGAGAAGGAGGCATTTGCACCAATCAGTGTAGGCCCATCATTACTGACCTTGAGAGACACTTGACCACCTGGGAAGGAAAGCTACATTAGCTGTGAGTCCTGGGCTTCCCCTCCCTGTATATGTTTCCCCTCCTTTTCTTCCCAAGCTACACTCAGTGCAGGTCATCTTGCTTTTTTCCTCATCCCATTCCTACCATGCCCTCCCCTGGAACTTCGAAGTTCCTACCTCTCCAGCAGTCAAGTCTCTGGGCTTCTGTCCACTCTGGATACAGCTGCCTGTTCCAGGCTTTGGTTCTGAGTTGCCTTGAGACACCAAGCCAGTCCTGGTTTCTGGGTCCTAAAAGGAATGTGCCATGAAGGGCCCTAGGATCCTTTCAGTCCCTTCTCAGGGATAATACTCTATTCATGTCACCCAATTCATTCTCACATTCGAAGTGCTTTTTTTTTGGGGGGCGGGGATGGAGTTTCACTCTTATTGCCCAGGCTGGAGTGCAATGGCACGATCTCAGCTCATTGCAACCTCTGCCTCCCAGGTTCAAGCAATTCTCCTGCCTCAGCCTCCTGAGTAGTTGGGATTACAGGCATGTGCCACCACGCCCGGCTAATTTTGTATTTTTAGTAGAGATGGGGTTTCTCCATGTTGGTCAGGCTGGTCTCGAACTCCCGACCTTAGGTGATCTGCCTGCCTCGGCCTCCCAAAGTGCTGGGATTACAGGCATGAGCCACTGCGCCTGGCCGAAGTGCATTTTTAAAACTCATTTATTCGGCTGGGCGTGGTGGTTCACGCCTGTAATCCCAGCACTTTGGGAGGCTGAGGTGGGCAGATCACGAGGTCAAGAGATCAAGACTATCCTGACCAACATGGTAAAACTCTGTTTCTACTAAAAATATAAAAATTAGCTGGGTGTGGTGGTGTGCGCCTATAGTTCCAGCTACTCGGGAGGCTAAGGCAGGAGCATCGCTTGAATCCGGGAGGTGGAGGTTGCAGTGAGCCGAGATTGCCCCAATGTACTCCAGCCTGGCGA